CATTGCCATCCTAAACACTGAACCCCGTGAACCCTAAACCTTCAGACCTTGTTCCTGTTTGGCTCGTGCTGCGCTTCGGGGGCTCGGTCGGCTTTCTTCAAGGGCTTCGAGGGCGTTTGTTCCACAGCGTCGCTACAGCGAGCCTCCTCCTCCTCCTCCTCCTCCTCCTCCTCCTCCTCCTCCTCCTCCTCCTCCTACTACTACTACTACTACTACTACTACTACTACTACTACTACTACTACTACTACTAGATCCAGGATTTGGGATTTAACGTTTGACGTTTCGGAGATCCCGCTGTTTGGCCCCTTCGGTGCTTCAGCCCAAAGCCCGAAACCTAAAACCTACTTGAGCTGCTGTAGTATTCCTGGGGCGGGCCATGTCCACCAGATGGGTTTAGGGTTTAAGGGTGAGGCTCATCTACGAACCCCAAAGCCAGAAACCTGATGCATGAAGCCTAAAACCCTAAACCCATAAACCCTAAACCCTAAACCCTAAACCCTAAAGCCTAAAGCCTAAAGCCTAAACCCTAAACCCTAAACCCTAAAGCCTGAAGCCTAACCTGAGCCCTGTGCCAGCAGACCCAAGACGTCCGACTCGTTCAGTGCCACAGACCAATCCTAAGAAGTCAGGGTTTCGGTCTTGGGCATGTAAAAGCCTGAATGGAACCCAAAACTTATTCGAATGGTTAAGGCCCCAATAGCATAGAACGCTTATAGCAACCATCATGGGTTTAGGGTTTAGGGTTATAACCCTTGAACCTATTAAGGCCCACGTTTTATGCGAAGCTGGGGGGAAGCATTTCAGAGGCTTCTAGGTCTTAAGACTTTCGAAGCTTGTTTTAGAAAGGAGTTATGTAATGTGTTTAGGTTTAGAGTTGAGGGCTTAGGGCTCAAAGCTTAGAGTTGATGGTTGAGGGCTTCGGGTTTAGAAATCAGGGGTGAGGATAAAGGATTAAGGATGACGGGTGGCTCTGGGTCCAGTTCAAGTTGGGAAGTCCAGGTGCAGGCCTTTGTGACCCAAGGTTTCAGGGTGTGGTTCATGTACGTAAACCCTGAAGAACCCTAAAAACCCTGAAAAACACCACTAAGCACCATAAAGCCGAGTCGATCTTCGGTGTGGGGGCCTGGGGCCATGGAAGGGGGAGGTGGGGCTGAACATGGCTGAACACAACAGGGCTCTGGGCAAAACCATTAAGATAGCTTGTGGAGACGTCTACCGCTGAATCCCGCGCGATGGGTGTAGGATGGCGCAGAACTTGGGACTCGTGAGACCCTTGTCTTGAAATCAAACAGTTGATGAAAGTCCTCTGTATAACCCTGACTAGAAACCATCATAAAGCCCGCATGAAACCCGTTTATAAGACCTGCACAAAACTAGATAAAGCAAAAACACTTAATTATAAACTCCTTCAAAGAAACCTTTTCATCTTTTGGTTTTGGGTGGGCTCAGGAGAACCAACTGCCAAACCCTGCAGACTCTTGGGCTTCCCGGCGCACTGCCGCGCGACGGAGCCTGGACCGGCTTGGGAGGGGCGTTCTTAGGGTTCCTTAAAGGGGCTCCTTAAAGGGGGATCTATAGGGTTCCTTAAAGGGATCTATAGGGTTTAGGGTTTAGGGTCTACTTGGAAGGGCAGGGGACTTAGTAAGTAGGTTATAAGTGGGGTTAGAATTGGGGTAACTCTATTTAGGGTACGTATAACTCTACTTATAACCTACTTACTAAGTCCCCTGCCCTTCCAAGTGGGGGTCCCTGTTCAGGGGACATTGCAGTGAGAGCGCTACTATGTAAGCCAGTGTAACCAGTGTGGCTGCATTAACACTACTCGCTGCAGCTCCCATATGGAGGTAGTAACTTGCAGTTTACTTTCGAACTTCTAAACCCCAAGCTCAACAAACAGTGTAAACCGAAAATGCTGAACCCTAAACTGCAAATCCTGAATCCTGAACCCTGTAGCTCCGTGGTTCAGAGTCAAGGACCCCGAAAGTGAATCTGGAAATGTGGAGGCCTGAATACTCAGGAATAGTGTTCCTGAAGGTTCCCCATTACAAATAAAACCCTATATTCTACTTGTTGAAGCCCCTCTCATCAGATCCTAAGGAACCCCATCATAGATAAAGCCCTATTCTACTTCTTAAGGCCTCCAACGAAACCCTTCCCTCTCGCCAGTCCTGGTCCCTTCGACAGTGGCGGCCATGGGCACCTGCCACGCCACGCACGGAAGGGTTCGTCAAGCAAAGAGCTTGAGGCTTCGAGGGTCCTTTTGATTTGGGGATTTCGAGGTTAAAGGGTTTAGGGGTCTGCGGTTCAGGGGCTTAGGGTTTAGGCTTTCGGGGTTTAGTGGTTGAGGATTTAGGATATTAGGGTTTAGGGGTTTAGGGTTTAGGGATTTAGGGTTTAGAGATTTAGGGATTTCAAAGTCCTCAACTGTACCATGAAGCGATATCGAAAACTTGAGGTTTCGCAGTGTTGAACCCTGAACTCTACACCCTAAGCTCCGAACCCTGAACCCTGAAGCCTAAACCCTCCCTGAACCTTAAACCCTAAAGCCTGCGCCCCAAACCCAACGAGCCCGCGGGGTCACCGGGGCAAACACGGCGGCGGAGCAGGCCAATCTGGCTCGGAAGCGGCTTCGTACGATGCCAAGGCGGACGAACTTCCGGTGTGGATCGCATCTGAGAGATCGCAAGGTTTACGGCTATGAGTCAGGCTGTGTTCCTTTTTTTTAAGGGTTCTTGTAAGGACATCAGAAAGTTGTATTCCTATAGGTTTCGGAGTTTTACGCATGTTCCAGGTCAGGTGTGCATTCAAAGCATCATGTTCAGGAGAAACTACTCAATAAAAGGAATCGCGAAATCTGAAACATGGTTCTAGTTCTAGTTCGGAAGCCCCACGACACATATCCGACAAGCTACCATATGATCAACAAGGTGCTAGCTCAAGACAGCCTTGGGCAACAGCGCCTCGACTAAACTAGTTCGAAAAAGGTTTGGGGGTATACTATACTACAACTAGATTCAGGAACACTAAATTCAATTATTGGTCCTCGTTCAGGTTTCTGTATTTATTGACAACTACTGGTAGTTCTCAGCCGAGACTCTCAACCTCAAAGCCCTTAAGAGTGCAGGACTGGGCTTACAGCGTTGAGGGTTTTGGGTTTCGGCTTTAAACTTTAGCTCTTCGAGACAACTGCAACAAGCACCATCAAAATGCGAAGAAGAGGAAGAAAAGGCGACAGGTGGACAGTCAAGTAAACCTTCGCCTCCAACAGCTTGGAGTGTATCATTCATCAAACCAGCACAGCCACAGTTCTCGGAAACCTTTAAGCCCCCTTCACCCGACTGTATACCCTGACGATGCTACTAACGGGAACGAGATGATGGTGGCGGTGGTGGTGGTAATGCCTGCGTTGGTGACCGGGGAGTTTGCTGATAGCGGTTCTAGCCAACGCCCCGCACGAAAACCTCCGACTGTTCTCTAGCAGCCCAGTCTTTCTAAACGACCCTAAACTCCTAAACCTTCAACCCTAAACCCTAAACTCTAGACCCTAAAGCCCTAAACCCCTTCAGGTAACCCTACCGACCCCCCCAAACCGTAAACCCTAAGAAACCCCCTTAACCCCGGAAAATAAGCCCAGAGAGCCCAATACCCCTTAATTATAAGGTATATACCTTGAATAATAAGGGGATTCATAATGTGATTTAAGCCATATTCCTTAATTAAATCAGAATATGAATCCCCTTATGATTTAAGCCATATTCCTTAAATTAAGGGGTATTGGGCGCTTGCCCTGAGCTCCCTACACCCTTAAGCCCTCAAACCCCAAAAAAAAACCCTAAGCCCTGAACCCCTATATGGGAGTTTCCTAAAGTAGGGAACCCTAATAAAGTAATTACCCTAAAAAGTAGGGTCCCCATTATAAGGACCCCAAAACAAGCTACCCCTAATTTTCGGAAACGCCCATATGAACCCTAAACCCCTGAACTCCTCAGCCCCGAGCCTGGCTCACCGGCCGCCGGGCGGAAGGAGGGGCTCGGCCGAGCTGCATGAAGAAGAACCTTTCAGAGCTATAGGGTTTACGGGTTTAGGGTTCAGGGTTTAGGGTTTTAGGGGCTAAAAGTTGAAGAAGAACCTTTCAGAAGGGTTGGGTTTAGGGTTTAGGCTTTACGGTTTAGGGGCTAAGGGTTGAAGAAGAACCTTTCAGAGCTGCAGAGGTATTTGGGGGTGTGGGGTTGAGGGCATTCGGTTTGAGGGGCTCAGAGTTGAGGTAGGGCTGAGGGTTTTAGGGATTAGGGTTTTGGGTTTAGTATTAGAAGAACCTGCGTAGCATCATCGAATACCTTGATTATTGTCAAGAGGAAAAACCTGAGGCTTCTTAGCTGAAAACCAATGTACGCAAATTCAAATAGTCCCTGCCGAGCTCTGTAGGGTTCGGAAACAGCGTCGAAAGGACCTTATCAGGGCCGCGCATGGGTTTTAGAAGGGTCCCCTGCCCAACCATGGGCCCCTGGGCTTTGGCTTTGCTTGAGGCTCTTGTGGCTAGGGCTAAGGGTTCAAATGGGTAGTTGTCAAAATTAGGGTCCCTAATTGGGTACCCCAAAAAATAGGTGCTAGGGACCCAAAACAGGACCCCGTAATTTTGACAACCACCCAAATGGATTCCGGTTTCGGGATGTTGGGCTTTGGGCTCCAGGGTTTGAGAGTTTTAGACCTGTGTCGGGCTTTGTGAGTTCCAGGGCCCCTTTGTAACGCAAGGCTGTTGAATGGCTGGTGAATGGGTTTAAGGTTTAAGGTGATGAAGTGTGATCGGATCGCTCCCTATGCTGTGGCTTAAGTTGACCGACAGCACATGCAGAGCATGCAAGGTAATTATAGAGCCATCGTACAGGCCTTGAAAAAAGGCAACATGCTGCAAGTGCGGAGCACCGGCAGAACACCAAGAGAGCATCTTGCTTGTTGTGTGAAAAGTGTGGAAGCGCGAATTCGTTGTGTGCCGTTTGCCATGGCATCTGAAGGAACTGCCCCTGCTGTAACACATCAGCAGGTTATGAGCGCCCAACACGCGGAGTTGTTTCATCGTGAAGATGAACATGAACCAGACTATGCAAACATGCCCGCAGGGCATGAGCAGGCGGCAGTGGATCCAGTGCCAATGGTTAATGGCATACCTCCAAGAGTGGCGGCGGCCGCGACTCAAGACCCTCAGAGTGTAGCCTCTGATGGTGCTGCGCAGCCTAATCTTGGAGGACTACAATGGCCTCTACCTCATGGAAATATCTCCGGTATGACAACTGCCTCAGCGCATGAGAATGTGGATGTTTTTTCTGCGACAGGTGTAACTAGCAGTGCCAAGGCGGCACCGCTACGTCTGCCGGAACTGGGAATCCATGCTATGCCGTCCCCTTTGCCTGGGCAGTCTCCTTTGAGTGTGCAAGGACAGACCAGGAGGGATGGTGAGGCCTCTATGACATCAAGAGCGGCCACATGGTTCTCTAAGTTGGGAGACTTATTCCAGCAGCGCCGTGTGGAAGTGACAACGTGGAGCCAAAGTCCGACTGGGCGGCAGTTGGATAATCCATGGACATCGCAAACCTCGTTTCATGATGCTGCGGGGACCTTCCCTGTGGATCCAGCTCATCCTGGAACTCAGACTCCACCTTCTACTGGTTCGGCGGGTGTGCCAAGAGAAATGGTACAAGCCGAAGTGGCAAAGCAGCTGGATGGAGCCATGGCCGAGGTCTATCAGAATATGATCGTGCGGATTGGTGAAGAGAGACAGAGGACGGAGCAAGCTGAGCAAGAGGCAAAGCAATTGCGAGTACAGATGGAAGTGATGGAGCAGCGCATGGCTGCCCGAGAAGCTTTGCCTGAATCGTCTGGAACTGCGAGACCTGAGGTACTATTAGGAGGGCTATCTCATCATGGTATGTTCCCGGCGCCTACTACAATGCAGGATCCTCTAAGTCTTCGTGATTTTCAGGATGATAATAGGGGTGTTGGTGTTGATCCAGGGACCTCTATGAGATTGTCTATGCCAAAGTTTCCGAGTATACCGTGGGCACCTACGGCAGGACTACGTGAAGATAACGGTCCAAGTTATTATCCTCCCCCACCTCCAGAACCCATTCCGGTTCCCAAGGTCAGCGTTGGAGTGGCGCCGCCGAGAAGCCAGTCACCTTCCGAGGGCCGAGGACGAGGGTTCTTACAGGGGCTATTTGGGTCAAGGAGTTTGAGTTCGGGAGCTTGTCCGCAACCTTCTACTACAAGTATGCCTATGGGATTTGCGGGACCTGTTCCACCACCACCGGGAATAGCTCCGCCTCCTACTCCAGCTGTGGCCTCTACCAATTTGGGAGGTAACGAAAGGGTTCTGACGGCAATGGCCAAGGGCATTGAGACGCTTCTTATGAACCAGTCCTCCAAGAGCGACAGGCCTGAAACAGTGAAGCCGGGGATAACAGAACTGCCAAGCCTCCCTTCTTACACACCAGACACGGGCAGCATCGACCTGATCAATTGGGTCACGCATATCACTCCAATAATGGAAGATCTTAGCGACTCGTCGAGTTTGTGGTGGAGTAGTATGCTGCAGGAAGTCATGAACTGGTATGCTCGCTATAGTGCTGCCACGCCGCTTGAGCGCATCAGGTTGACTCCGGCTTTGGCAGCCTCACCTGGAAAGCCCGAATGGGCCCGAGTGGAGCGGCGTGCTACCGCCATGATGCTAACGGCTATCCCGACTTCCATCAAGGAGGAGGTGATCGCATCTGGAGGTGTGAACACGTTGAGCCTCCTGGCCAAGCTCTTCTCGACGTACCAGCCGGGTAATCGACAGGAGAAGGCTCTGGTGTTAGCGAACTTGGAAAAACCGAGTGAATGTCAGGATGCGGCAACAGCTGTTGAGTCCCTCAGGAAGTGGGCGCTCTGGCGGCGCCGAGCTACGGCGATCGGTATCACGGAACCAGACGCCAGTGTTCTCTTGCAAGGCCTAGATCGGATATGCCAGGGCGTTGTTCGTGCAGATCCTGAGCTTGCTTTCCGTGTGAGTTTGATACGATCTACATTGCAACTGGATGTGAACCCCACAGCTACAGCAGTCACGCAGTTTTACCAGCACCTCCAAGCCGAGTTGGAACAGCAAGCTAGGTTAGCTACTACCAGGACTGCGGCTATCAACCCGAGGTTGAAGGCTCTGGGAACCGGAACAGAGGCAGCATCTTCGTCTTACGGAGGTGGACCACCTCCTGGGCCACCGCCTCCACCGAAGGCTCCCGGTAGCCAGTGTCGGTTTTTTGCCAGTGAAAAGGGGTGCAGAAGGGGATCTACATGCAGGTATCCCCATGTTTGGTCTGCTTTCGAGAAAGCGGAACGGGCGCGACGATGTCTTAATTGTGGAGCAGTGGGTCACAAATCAAGGGAATGCAAGTCTCCTGGGGGTGGTGCTGGACCGAAGCCAAAGGAATCCACGCCTACGACTACCCCTAAGGATCCACCCGCTACTCCATCGTCTGCGCCTTCTAGCACGGGCTCGTCGCCTACGGCAAGACGTGTTAATATCGACCCGACGCCCGATATCGCTGTGAAGGTGATGAGTGTTATGCAGGAGATCAAGAACCTCCAGGCCTTCCAGCCCCTCCTGAGCGCGGTGAATCAATGGACTTCTCGATGGGGTCTACAAACTGAGAAGAAAGCTCTGCTGGATTCTGGAGCTACCCACTCTTTACGGCCACCTCACAACGAGGAGGAGTGGAAGAACGCAGTGGATGTGAGCGTCGCCTTGGCAGGGGAATCTCGTACTGTCATGAAACAGAATGAGGCCGGCACCTTGCTAAGTGGCGATGAGCTCTCCCAGGTGATAGTCCCGCTGGGCCGTGTGATCAGCTCGCTGGGATATCGTTTGAGTTGGACATCGCAGCAGTGCAGTTTGGTTAGCCAAAATGGGGAAGTTCTGCCGTTGAGGGTTGTGCGAGGCTGCCCTGAGGTGGACGAGAAGATTGCCCATCGACTCATCCGGGAACTAGAAGAAAAGCAGCTCCCACCGTTGCACGAAGCCACCTTGGACTCTGTGCGAGTTCTTCGTGAAGTTGAGGTGAGCTGGTGGTCATGTATGATTGACTATTGCACTAATGGGAGTGTGGAGTCGGGGCAAGAAGCATTGAAGCGGGCCATGTTCTTTGATGAAGAGGATCGGTGTGATCTTGGTCGTCTTCTACTACGTCGTCCCAATGATGGAGGGTGGCAGGCTATGAAGGGTCTTGGCCTCAACCGCAGGACACGGAAGAGGTTGATAGCGGCCCCTACATGGATTGTTCGTTGGGATCCCCCGGGTTTTACGAGGAAATCGGACGTCTTGCAGAAGGTTGGACGGATGTCTGAGGCCGTCTATATCAATGTTGGGTCCATGCTCTCGTACGGGGATTTGTTGGCGGTATGGAAGGTGTTGCTATGGGCTGCTACTCAGGGGCGCATAGGAGCGGTGCTCTCGAAGGATGTGGGTGCGACCACGACTGAATTTGAGGCCCACAAGGTTCATCGAGCCCGAGTACATCTCCTACATGCACTAGCAGCGGCGGGGCAATACTACCGAGGTTGCAATGTACCTCGCCTTCTTATCGAAAGACGTAAAGCTGCCGCTTGGGATGCCGTGGATTGGATGTGTGATGGAAAGGCCCAGCGCTACTGTGATGAACTCGACCTACCCAGCCCTTTGTACAAGGAGGAGGAGGCCGTTGAGGTTGTCAGTGGTCTTACTGGGGTTGTGGGCTCTGGGCGCTTTGGTCGTGTAAGGTTAGCACGGATGTCCGAGGATGCTGCGTGGAGGTTACATGTGATGCGGAACCACCAACCTTTCCGACGAGATTGTGCTCTATGTGTTCGCAATGCAGCAACAGGGAAGCAGCACAGAGCCACTATGCATCCCTCCGGTTATTGTCTATCGGTTGATGTAGCTGGACCCTTGAAGGGATATGGACGCTCTCCTGACGGGAAGTTCTTCAAGTACTTTGTGATTGGGGCGTTTCGGATACCGTTGTTGGACGGTTGTGTTCGACGTGATGAAGAAGTTCATGGTTACCCCATCCCTCGAGATGATCCAGATGCTGAGGTGGAAGATCTTCTGTCAGAGGAAGAACCTGATGATGATCAGCTTGAGGAGGAGGCCGGTGCACCAACACGTGAAGAGCTTGAAAAGGAACGTGAGGAGTGGTGTAAACTCCGTGAATCCTTTAAGGCCCCTCTCATGACAGAGACGTTGTACTTTTGTGTGCCGGTGAACAGCAAGAAGGCCGTTCATGTTCTACCAGCCCTGCAACAAATGGTTGTTGATGTTAGGGCCTTGGGCTACCCTGTGGCACGGATACATTCTGACCGAGGAGGAGAACTCCGAGGGAATGCAGTGAAGCGGTGGATCCTGAACCAAGGGATTCTTCGTACTACGTCTACGGGCTCGGAGCCTGCTGAGAACGGGGTCGCGGAGGCTGGGGTCCGCTACCTCAAACGCCGAGGTCGAGTGCTTCTTGATGCTGCGGGTGTGGGCCGTGAACATTGGCCAACTGCCATTCAAACAGCGGCGCTGCAACAAAGGTGCCAGAAGCTCAGCCTCAGAGATCCGACCCCAGTCGCGTATGGTGCCAAGGTCTATGTGAAGACGAAAAAGTATAAGACCGGTGATGTGGAAAGTATGAAGCCGCACTGGTTACAGGGGAAATATTTGGGACCGTCCACTGATGTTCGTGGAGGCCATGTCATTTTGAAGTCTACGGGCACTTTCTTGACTACTACCCATGTGAGAGTTGCAAGGGAGCCTCCCAGCATTGACGATGTGACGCCGGTTGTCCTTGTGGATAGCGACGACCCACCTCCTTTACCGGGTCCGGCGGAGCCGCCAAGTGATGTACCCGAACAACCAGGAGAAAGACGTCGAGTTGAACCGTCATCGTCATCTGGTCGGGGTCCTAGAGAATCTGAGGTACCCGAACAACCGGGAGAAAGACCTCGAGTTGAACCGTCATCGTCATCTGGTCGGGGTCGTCATGTTATAGATGAAGCAGGCGATCTACCACCGTATCCCAAGGGTCCACCTATAACGTACAGCCCACCAAGGTCCAGAGTTCGTACCAAATCGCCGGGTGTCCGTATGAGAGCTATGCGAGCTGGGGACTATGAGGATATGTGCTACGAGGATAGTGTCGCTGCTGGTTCCTATGGTGAGGTTTCGTATAACCAGGAGGAGATCATGATGAGAATTCTTCGAGCTCAAGAAAAACAGGCTGTTGAAGCTGTTGCGATGGAGCTGTTGAATGCAGGTGACTTCTCTCGTGAATCATGCAAGAGGCTGTTGAGGGCCTTGGGAAGCTTTCAAACTAGATGGAGAAATCCCCGCACGTCAGTTGGTCAGGGAATGGTCTTGGGAGCCTATGTCCAGGGAGCGTCGTTTGGGGTCACCAATCATTGTCGTGGAATGGCAAATACTACAAAGTTCCTCAACAAGTTCCTGATGATCAGGTTGGGCAATACTATGCCGGGGTCTACCTGTACGTGGACTACCCTGGCACTTCAGAAGGCGAATGACATTCCTGCCCATCGTGATGTTCATAATCAGAGGGGAACCCGCAACTATGTGATGGAGATTGCGGATGAATCTTTGTCAGGTCTTTGGATTGAAGGAGATGAAGACCAACATCCCGCAGAGGGAGGTGATGGTACTTATATCGATCATGAGTACCAAGCGGAAGATGGAAGTGTTCATGATGGACGGCTTCGATCTATTGAGAACCCTGTGGCGTTTGATCCGAGATCGCGACATGCGCTGGTGAATGAGCCGGGCATGAAATGGGTGTTGTCAGCCTATACGCCTTCAGGAGTTCAACGACTTTTGCAAGCCGATGTGGACTTTCTGTTTCAGCAAGGGTTCCCAGTTACGGGGACTGGTGTTTCGCTACCAACGGTGAGGGCGATACAACAAGTTTCCTTTGGAGCTGGAGCGCGGGAAACCATACCTGCGTTTGAGGCCCCTTCCTACGAGCCGCAGTTCGTTGCCTTGAGTGGAGCTTGGGCAGCAAGGGCAGAGGAGGAGGGTGTGGCCGTGGTCAGTTCTGAGGAGGAGCATGATGCTGATGAGGCGGAGGGTGATTGGGAGCTGTTTGTTGAGAGCAGTGAGGAATCATGTGTCATGGGCGATGTTATCGAGCCCGAAGACGAGCCAACACCCCGCCTACGTTGTTTGTGTACTTCGAGGGATCCTGGATCAGAGTATGAGCTGCTGGAAAGGACCTATGAGGGTCACTTGGACTCCGAGGATTGTGCGGAGTTGATCCAGCAGGATATGGCTGCAAACCTTGAAGAGTGGGAAGTGAAGTTTCCGCAGATTGCCAAGGTGGAGCCTGAGTTCACGGAGAAGATTGAGGAGCTCATCGGCAACCTTAAGGAGCCGCTACGCCATACTCACAACGTGAATCCTAAGGAAGTTCGTGAAGATCTTGAGAAATGGCGCAGCTCAATCATCAAGGAGTTGGGTGTGGTTGAGAAGGGCTTCTACCGTACGACTGTGGAAGGGGTCCGTAACCTGAAGCGCCACCATACTGTTCAGGAGCTGCCGGCCAAGCTTGTTTACACTGTGAAGCCACCGAGTGCTGATGCAACTCCTGGAACAGAAGCAGCATACGTGAAGCGAAAATCACGTATAGTGTGTTGCGGCAACTTCAGCTCTGCCGACCCAGGAGAAGTGTTTGCCAGTGGTGCCGCAGCCGAGTCGCTGCGATGCGTCCTCACCTTAACAGCGCTTCGGCGCTGGGCAGCAGGAGGCGTTGACATCGGAGGAGCGTTTATGTTGACTCCGTTACCTCAACATGAAGGGGCCACTCTCTACAGCATCACCCCTCCAGCAATCCTTGTCTTGCTGGGCTTAGCTACACCTGGGGAAAGGTGGATATTGACACACGCTATGTACGGCTTACGCCAATCGCCACAGCTTTGGTCATCCTTTCGTGATGCTACGGTTCGGGCCATGGATTTGGAGATGGACGGCGTCACGTGGAAGTTTGTTCAGGGTGAAGCAGAACCAAATGTTTGGTTGTTGTTTGAGACGGGGAACTCTCAGACTACCAGGCCGAGCGCCCTGCTCCTGATCTACGTCGACGACCTCCTCATATGTGGTCCTCGATCACTTGTACAAGCTATCGCTCAGAGGATTGGAGCGACGTGGAAGATTTCTGAGCTTGAGATTGTTGAGCCCCATCATGGGATAAGGTTTCTGGGCTGTGAGATCGAGACGAACGAGAGCCGGGATACCTACTGGATTCATCAGAAGCCGTATGTGATGGAGATTCTTCGGCATCATGAAGTACCAGCTACATCTAGGTCGCCTGTGCCCTGTCCCAGAGATCTATTAACACTCCATGTTGAGGATGATGAAGCTAAGGGGACGGACCTGGAAGTTAAGCAGGCTCAGAAGATGTGTGGTGAACTTCTATGGCTGAGCCAGAGGAGTCGCCCCGACATAGCATTCCCAGTGTCGATCATGGGGAGCCTTATCACCAAGGCGGCACCAAGGAGCATCCAGATTGGGACTCGACTGTTGTCGTACCTTCAAAGAACCTCTGGAATGGCCTTGGAGCTGAAGCCTACTGATGGTGGTTTCCAAGCCTGGAGTGATTGCAGCTTTGCTCCGAGTGGAAACAAATCCCACTCAGGGATGGCGATATCATGGCACGGGGCTGTGATTGCATGGCGCTCGGCGCGCCAACCTTTTACCTGCCTGTCGACGGCGGAAGGTGAGCTAACGGCAGCTTTAGAGACTTTGACGTTGTCAATGAGTTTGAAGGCCATTGTGGATCAGTTCGGTGATGTTGTGCCGTTTACTACTTTGTGTGTGGACAATCAGGCAGCCCTCACACTTGCCAACCCAAACTCGTCGGCAAGCTGGAGAACAAGGCACTTGAGGATAAGGGCTTCCTTTCTGAGAGAGCGCGTCGATCAAGGGGAGGTCCTTCTTAAGTTTGTACCGGGCAAGTACCAGCTTGCAGATTTGCTCACGAAAGGGTTCCCTCGCCAGCGGTTGGAAGAGTTGAATGGCTTGTGGGGTTTGGTGGATCTTGTTCAGGCTGTTGCTCAAGTGAACCTCATCAAGGTGATCGTGATGATGAGCATGATGGTTCAATCCGCAAGGGCGAGGTCAGTTGAGAAAGAACCCCTTCCTTTGGAGACTTCGTGGGAGTTGTACATCGCGATGGTGATGCTTGCTATAGTGGTTGTGGTGTTTTGGGAGTGTGGTTGGAATGTTTGGTACTACGTGACGGGCCAGGAGACACCAGCTCAAATGCGCAGAACCAAGCGTTTAAGGAAGATGCAGGAGGCCATCAAGGAGGAGATTACAATGCAGATGGCATCAACGGCCTCCCCTACTACGAGAACATTTGAGAGTTCGGGTTCAAGTGCTTCTTCTACTACACCACCTCCACCGCCGGATCCTCATCCAACTGCAAGACCCACAACTTCGTCATGGACACCCACCTCTATACTGAGAGGAAAGACGATTTATAAGGATACCCAGCGGGATAAGGCTACGCAGATAGACTGCCCACCTTTGATATGTTATCAAGATCGTGCGGTACATGTTCCGGTGCCAGACCCTGCAGGTTGGGATCGTCCTATTTGGGTTTCCGATCATGGTGATGCCTTTCATACTTTGGATCACTGTTGGGGACTACGAAATGCCCGAAAGCGCAGACTTACCTACTGCAAATGTTGTCGTGACAACCACGGCCGGTCGCTTTATCCCGAAAGGGGATGAGTGCTCGCAGGCACGTTTGGTGCCGTACGAGCAAGGAGGAGTGATGAAGTGTGATCGGATCGCTCCCTATGCTGTGGCTTAAGTTGACCGACAGCACATGCAGAGCATGCAAGGTAATTATAGAGCCATCGTACAGGCCTTGAAAAAAGGCAACATGCTGCAAGTGCGGAGCACCGGCAGAACACCAAGAGAGCATCTTGCTTGTTGTGTGAAAAGTGTGGAAGCGCGAATTCGTTGTGTGCCGTTTGCCATGGCATCTGAAGGAACTGCCCCTGCTGTAACACATCAGCATAAGGGTTTAGGGTTCAGGGTTTAGGGTTTAGGGCCAGTTTAGGGTTTAGGCAAGAGCCTTCAACCACTACAACACAGACCCCCCGCTCCTCAACATCTTCCCCACCAGCCCCCCCCCCCGAAACAAAGCCTCCCCAATACAAAAGATTGAATGCAAAACCCTGTAATCTTTCAAACAGCCTGAAAACCAATAATCCTAAATCCTGAACCCAAGGTATATCCCAACACATCGAAACCATGGGTTTGATGGTATAAACCCTGCATTACCTTAACGACCCTAAACTATGGGAATTATGGTATATTCCTTATTATGGGTAATGCAGGATGTATATCATCCACCGTAGTGAACGCAGAATCTCAGAAAATGATCGAAGAAATTGGAGCTTCCGGAAATTAGGGGTACCTTATTTTGGGGTCCTTATAAAAAGGAAGCTATTTAGGGTACTATATTAGGGTCCCCTATTTTCGGAAACTCCCAACTCCACGGAGCTTGAGTGAGGCGAGACGCCCGTTCGCCGAAAGGCACCAGGAGTTCGAGACACGCGACACGTCATCGGCAAGCCTCGGGAAGGCTCCATACTGCTGATGGACAAAATCCTGCATTAAAGGGATCTAACAGGGTACCTTTAAGGGGCTCCTTTAAGAGATCTATAGGGATTTAGGGTTTAGGGTTTAGGGATATAAATCCTGCATTACCCATTATAAGGAAAATACCATAGTTCCCATAGTGTAGAATCCTTAGGGTCATGCAGGATTTTGTCCATCAACAGTACGGATTCGACACAGACAGCTATAGCCTGGGCTTCGGGATCAAGGGTCTAGGGCTCAGAATGTGGATTAGGGATTTAAGTTCAAAAGCTGGCTCCGGACATCTTGCGAGGGTCCAGCTGGTTGGCAAAAGGGTCGGTGTGCCCTATACAATGTACAATAGCCCTAAAGTCCTAGAGATCGCCCGAAAGCTGAGGGCTCTGACTTGAAGGCTTGGAACCTAAGTTGGGGGAGGGCCTCGGAGTTCTGGAAGGCCTCGCGGGGGGCCTTAATGAGTAGAATAAAGCTCCTTGTAAGGGTCCTATAAGGGTTACCAAGGCCGTAAGGTCCCACTACAGCCCTCATCCGAACCCTAAATCCTTGGGGTGAGGGTTTAGGGGTTGAACCCTGAACCCTTGGGGTCTAGGGGATAGGGTTTTTCAAGTTGAGCCCGAAACCCACACCCCTCCGCAACTCCATGCTGAGGAGAGCACTCGTCTTGGTCGCAGGACGGCGAAGCCCGGAATCCCAAGACAAGGCCTGACTCTACTTGGAGGATCATGGGACTTAGTAACTAGGGTTATAAAGAAGGTAACTATACTTACAACTCCAATCAAGGTACTTATAACCTTACTTACTAAGTCCCATGATCCTCCAAGTAGGGGCGTAAGTTAATAATGTAGGGGCCTTGATCATTAGAATGGGCTTCCCTTTAAAGGGTTCCCTACAGGGGTCTACAAGGGATCTATGGTAGGGTTCTATCGTGTAGGGCCTTAGTAATTAGAATAGAGTTTTGTGTGCTCCTTGTTACCACTATAGTATAATATACCCCAAACCCTAGTCTAATTATTGAGGCCCTATACCATGTTATGAACCCGGGACTACAGGGCATGACTACGCTTAGAACAGTAGGTGGTGGGTCCGCATGCTCGAATTTTGAAGGTTGAGGAGGAATGCGCATCTGGAACTCATGGCTCATCTCAGATCCTCTCAAACGCGTTTCAGGCTCAGGCTGCCTGGTACTTGGAGGATCATGGGACTTAGTAAGTAAGGTTATAAGTACTGAGTTATAGGTATACTTACCTTATTTATAACTCTAGTTACTAAGTCCCATGATCCTCCAAGTAGACCCTAAACCCCTAAATCCCTATAGATCCCCCATAGAACCCTTTAAAAGGAGCCCCTTAAGGAACCCTTTAAGGAACCCTAAGTCCCATGATCCTCCAGGTAGTTGTTCAGATACAAATACCCGCACCCAACACGACCACTAGCTAGGCTCCAGTGTTGGCCTCGGGTTTCCTGAAGTCCTTGAAACCCTAGGGCTCCATGTACCCATATAGTATATAATTAGGCCTTAAAGTACCTATATAGGGGGCTTAAGTACCTACTATAACGGTACATGGAGCCTTTGGGAAAGGACTGCAACCTAATGCAAGCCCTTATGCAACCCGTATCATTGTAGACTTTTTAAAGCAAAACACCAGGATGCTTTGTATCTAAACCTCGCGACACCCAATGTAAAAAGAAAAAAGCAACAGAACGTTTCAAACCTGCATTGCAGCATGAAGCCCTGGCAACCCCAACCCTAAACCCCAAAAACCCTTCGCCCGAAACCTTCAAAACTCCCCCCGTCCCTCCTGCCTGCGCTGCGACCGATGGTCTCAGAGACTTTTGGCCTGAAACCAAATGGAATCAGAAGGGCTTTAGGGCTAAAGGGTTTTATATATGATTGTGTTTTATACATATTCGTCTCGTCTTGCAGATGATCGCTGGATTTCTGAGCCAGCTCGCCGGTGCAGATTTAGCTTTCTGAGTTACGGCCTTGGCCGGCTTTCGACATTCCCATGTCCTGCTTGTGGAATTCAGGCGGGCCTGAGTCTCTGGAAGAGCTTACATAGAACGTGTTCACCCCCAATCTGTTGTTCTCCTTGCTTGGCCTGCAGCCACGACAATAACTAGGTTGGCCCTTTAAAGCCTCTGAAAAAAATATTCGTAAATAGGGTCCTATTGAACCCAATAAGGGAAATATAAGATATCCCAAAGGCCTACCTAGACAAGCATAGGGGTTGTTGGCAGAACAAGTGTCCCGTCTTGGATCGAGTACGGCTCTGCTATACCAAGGCCGCCAAAAAGGGGATCCGAAAGTAGAGAACTACCCATGCAACCCCATGCACCGCCTACATCAGCAATGTTATAGGGCTGGGGCTTCTTTCTCAAAGACTCGCCGAAGTCGGGCCGAAGTCTCTGTTAGGGTTTAGGGTTTAGGGTTTTTAAGGTTTTTAGGGTTTAGGGTTTAGGGTTTTTTGCATAAACCTCGCCATACGAACAGAAAGAAACAGAGACTCTTGGGCAAAGGCCTGTCTGCCGAGGTAATGGACTGAAAGAGGCTCTCCACAACTACCTCGAAGTAGTGCCCGTTCTGGAACACCTCGTTTTTTGGATTTAGCGAATTAGGGGTTGAGGGTTCAAGGAGCAGGGCTGGAAGACCTCGAATCTGGGATTTCGGGCTTAAGGCCTAGTATGCAAGGGTTCAGGGAGTAGGAGTCCAGGGCTTAGGGCACTGTGGCTGACAGTTCAGACAAGCGGATGTAAGCATGTCGAGTTCACTGTTTCCACAAGCGGCGTGTGAGGGCTTGCTGCTTGAGGACTACGGGACGTTCGGGCCTCAGGGCTTAAGGCTCTTCGCTTTGGTCCTTTCAGGCGGGACGGCACCCTGCCCAGAGAGCCGGAAATGAAGGGTTCTAGGGTCTTACGGGGTTCTAGATTGTATAAGGGATTACGGGCAGGCCTAGCAGGAAATCATGCTAGGAACCCCTCTACAGTTTATACACTTATCAGCACAATCCCACTTCAGGAGGCGCTATGCTTTCTGCGCAAATGAAGCGTCTAAGTTCAGGCCCCAGGGAGGAACTCTGCTTCTGGGATTCGACTGAGTCATCACTCAATCTGGGCTGTATACTTTGAGGGCTCCCAAAAGTAGCTATGAAAAGGCAGTTCTATAGGAGCATAAGGGAAATTAGACGGTGTCCCAAAGCTCCACCCAGTCACGGGTCCGGGTCGGGGAAGGGTCTACACGAGTCTACACGATTCAGCGTCAGAGAGCGGCTGCGCAAGAGCTTTTAGTGTTCGGGGCGTTCAGGAATAGGGTTCAGGAAGAAGGTTTAGGGTTTAGGGTTTGAACACTACATGATGTTCAGGGCTCCATGCACTTAGATCAGAGTACTACCCTGTCAGCCAAGCAGGCGAGGCCCCGACAGCAGACGACTAATCGGGAGTGCACAGTTTCCTGTACTTGGAGGATCATGGAACTTAGTAAATGAGGTTATAAGTACCCTAATTGTGCTATAAGTATAGTTACCCTATTTACAACTAGTTACTAAGTCCCATGGTCCTCCAGGTAAGGCAAAATCTGGAACCTCCGACGCCGCACACGGATTGGCTCGGTAAAAAGGGTCGGGACTGGCAGCAGAGCCTGCACTCACAGGATCGAGGGTCCAATACCACAGCTTTCACTCCATCGCAAACCCAAACCCGTTGGTTATAACGGTTTAATGTCAACACCAAGCAGCGGTTGCCCCACCCACCCAACCACCCAAACTGAGAGGACGGCGGGAACCGGCTCCAGGCAGGTGACTATGGCCGGCGGCTGGCGATTGAATGATCATTAGGGGAGTTCAGGGTTTAGTGGTTTAGGGTTTACGGTGCCAAAGGAGTCACAGCAATACGATCGCTTTTTGAGGTTCTTCTTGCAAGAGTGACGTCTGTCTTGGGGTTCCAAAAAGAAGTCCCATTGTCTACGGCTGTCCACAATTCTTGTAGCTCCATGTTATTGGCTGACGACGCACGCGCCACGACGACGACAACAACGACCTCGGCTACATAGGGCTACTATCAGTAGTATAATGCTACGAGTGCCTCATGTGACCTCGCGGAGATTACACAAGGCGCAACAAGCAGGCACCAAACAATGGACAACTATCGATCTTGAAGATGCTCTACAGAGCACCGATGCGTGCTTGCCCAACTCCGCTTTGGGCATGGCCA